AAAAGGCTACCTGTGAAAATCAACAATCTCTCCTGTTTTGGAAATACTGTCCACTTTTTGCATTAAAGTATCCACTGCTTCATTCATAAAAGTCATCATCTTAAAGAACAAGATTATAAATAGGACAGACATCATTCAGTTTCTCATGTCTGAACTTGATTGTCATTAGGCTATTTCATCAACTTTTTTGCCATGTTATAAATGCTGAGATAGGATCTATAATTAACAGGCCACAGAGAGGTTATTTTATATGGCATCATTTAAGGCTACAAGTGATAGGATAGTGTAGGATAATGATTATTTCAGTCCCTTTAAGACCCACCCAAGTGTGTGGGCTCCACATGGATTAATTTTTGGGGATATTTAAGGTGCAATGTTTGTTCCTTAAAGATCCATGAAAGACTGTTGTACTCAAGGACAGCTTCAAGCTGCCACTGACATCACCACAATATTACTAGTTAACACTTATAATAACAGTATTATAAAGTACATAAATTATACAATATAATAGCATAAATTGTATCAGTAACTGACGATGCAAATATTGAATAATTTATGATAGTAGAAATTATTCAATTTGAAGATGCAATGGTTATCAATGCATTTGCTTACATGCTTCATTTTAGAAGCACTGAAGGTTGGTGACAGAGTACTACGAAGATCCTTCCACTTCTGCCCAGGTGCAATTGTCAGCATTCTATCGTATGGCTTCGGGATATCCACAAGGGCCTGATAATAAAATTAAATCAGAAAGGTTTTGAAATTGACAATCATGAATGTTATGCCATTTGGGGACTGTTAAAAATTGGTACAGTTACAAATAGTAGTATCCAGCTTCCATTACAGCACTTCTGCAATTTTTCAAAATCTTGAAAAAAAAAAAGAAAAAAGAAAAAAAAGTTGAGTATAAAATTAACAAGAGATCTAGTTGACATAGTTCCAATTTCACTGGTAACACACCCTCCTGTATTAAAGGGTTAATTACTTTTTGAAAAATATTAAGAAAACCATTACATGCAATTTATTTAAGATAGTAAGTCATGTATAGGCAACAACAAATAAGTTTGACTGTACAATGCAATCTTATTACCTTCCTATTGTGAAACTTGGGGAATTCTTTAATGAGAATCTCTTTGATCATGTCAGGATCAGCAACCATGAGAAATGGCTGACGGAACAAGAACATTCTAATAGAAAAAAGTGAATACACATGTACTGCATCATCCATAAAACATTTACTGGTAATAACTA